GGGCTACTCAAATATTTTACGTTTTTGATACTAAATTAACATCTGAAGTATAACTTTTTATTGTTTTTATATTTTTCAATAAATTTATTTTGTTTGTACAAAATAAAAAAATAATTTTTAACGATACAATAGTCTTCGTTAGGCTTAACATAAACGAAAATTCAACGCGAAGCGACACGCAACGGAGAGAAATTTCAACATGGGATAAATTAATATATTTTTTCGTACATGATTCGTTATCCGAAATATAAGTTATCCGAACCACCCCAGTCCCCAATTGATTCGGATAAACGACGCTCTACTGTATTTAAAAAATTATTCCAAATTTTGCCAAGGATATTTTATATTTATTAAATTTTTTTATCTGTACATAAAATAAAATGCAACAATTCATTTTATTAAAATTATCCAAGAAATAAAATTGATAAAGATAAATACTAAGGTGATCAAATACTTTGTTAGCTATTTCTCACTTGATGAGTGGTTGGGATTGATAAAGTTAATTAATGTTTAATCTAATCGTATTTTTACTTATATTTAATTGTTAAAATTTTAGATTGCATTATATAAGAAATTCAAGATTTCGCAATGAAATACAAAGTATTATTCTCATGTCTAATTACGGATCATTATAAAATTGAAACGTCATGCTGACATAGTCATTCAACAAACAACTTTTCCTGCATTAATTAAAGATTTGGGCCTACTTGCAACACTTTCTCTTTTATTTGTATTTCGATGATCTAAGTAATACATCATTGAAATATAGGAAATTTTCTAAATAACGAATTTGATGAAGGGTCCAATATTCTCAGTAATATAAAGAAAATTCTATAGGCCCACCAGTGGCCAAGCAGTTCCTACCCTGAACACTGATTTCTCGGTGGTGGGTTCGCGCCTCGCCAGGACGAGCTGGCTAAGTGGAATTTTCCGTGTTTTCAACACGTCTTTAACGCCTAAATAGAGGCCAGTTAACTTTACAAGACTTCTCGGAAGGCATTCCCTCCTAAGCAGATTCTCCAAGTGTTGCGTTGCCGTAACTAACCAAAAAAAAAAAAAAAAAAATTCTATATGTGAAAATTAACAACAAATGATCAATTAACACTTTGCCAGTATGTAACGCATTTAAATATACTTTCCTAATACAGCGTGGGCAAAACTGAAAATATATGACACTTGTATAATTTCTTTGCACTTCTGTTATAAATCGTTTTAATAGCTCTCCAGGCTTTTAAAAAATTCTTTCTTCCCTGAGGGCACTAAGAGGCCTTTTTAGCCCATTATGGGCTCAACTAGGCTAACAATAAGACAGCTAGGTTTTTCTTTTTTCTTTTAAATTCTTTCCGCTCTGTGGGCATTAAGAGGGCCTCTTTTACAAGCCCATTATGGATTCGTCCAGGACCATGATGGGGCGGCCGGGTGGTGAGGGACGGGGCCCGACATAGCCGAACGGATCATCTCCCGAAAAATTCCTGGGAATTTTTCGACCCGTCTGAATTCGATCCTGGATCCCCCAAAGCGGTAGGCTGCAACCTTG